AAAAAAAGAAAAAAATAGAAAAAAAAAAAAAAAAAAAATATTTTAATTAAATTTTAAAAAAAAAAAAAAAAAAAAAAAAAAAAAACTATTATTAAACTTAAGGGACCAGGAAGTCTTTAACTGAATGTTAATATATGGGGAAAAAAACCCACTTTTAATTTATCCTCCAGATCTGCTCACTATATTTCTGACACAAGTACACCACTTAAAAGTAAATATTAATAATGTTTCGGTTTAACGTCTAATGCTGCTATATTTAATAATAACACCACTGAGACACTTCATAAATGCATAGCCATTGCTAACGGTGTCAGCTATTTAATGGAAGTGCTATCACGTTTATTTTGTATCCTGTTTACTAGTAACACTCTCTATAAATACATTCATCTGTTTGACTACATCCGTATTGCGATGCGTTAAGCGCTTTTCTCATTTTGTGAAGGCAAAACGAACCTATAAAACTATAGTTTATTGGAGCATGAAACATTTTAAGTTATATAACTAGTTTGATAGAAAAAGAGTAAATTTCAAGGCATAAACAGAAATAATACCAATAAAACATGTGAGAAAAATGAGATGTTCTATGGTACATTGCCTTTTTTAAATATTTTGAATAAGCCTTACGTATTGTTTAAGGCAGCGTTCCCCAAACGGTGGTCCGTGGACCGTCACCGGTCCGCGAGCCTTACGTTACCGGTCCAGAGAGCATCAATATTGATGCTTAAATAGAAAGAAAATGTAATTAATAAATCTGGCACATGGTCCCTGGTGCAATTTCAAAACTTGTCCACCGGTCCATGAAACTTAAAAGTTTAAAAACGCTGGTTTAAGGTACTTATCTTTTACATACATGGAAATACAATATTGGTAAATATCTTGGAGAGTAAAACTTTGATAATACCTGGTTGTTAAAGGAAAATAAATTTTCCACACACACCTCAGTGCCGAATGTTAAGGACTTGTATTTATTGTGTGATTGTGTGTTTGTTTGGAGAGTATTTGGGTAGATGCTGCTCTAATTTCCTCGGTTTTTTTTATAAGTACTTTACTGAAGGGGAAATGACGTATTACGGTGCAGTGTGCTGTGATTGAGTCTATGGCGCAAGTATCAGGAACGATTTTATCAATAAATTTTAGTAATAGACTCGTACAGTTAACAAAGATACGTCCGTCTCTTAATTCAATGGTCTGTTAATTGATCGTAACCCCCATACAACGAAACTAACGAACCAGATACGTTTTTGTTCGTAACACCGATTACCAAGATTTGTGAAAAAACATACATAAAACAGCTTGACCATCTGAGAAAGTTAAAAGAATAAAGTAAAAAGCGAAACTATTCCACAATTTCAGTAAAAAATCACGGAAAAGAAAGAAATGTACGCAATTTTTTCAGAGTAGTCTAACACTCTAATGCGTATGGTAGATGTTACAGCATTGATAAAATATATAATAAAAACAATATTTTAAAGCTTAATGGTTAAATCTTAAAATAAAGCCTTAAAAATGTATTTGTTTTTTCAAAATCTACCCGTAGTCTCTGTTGGTTATCGATTTAATAATGTTTAAATATGATTCCAAACAGATGTTTCAAAATATCTTCAATTTTTCTACTAAACACATTACAAATGGCGCATATACTACTCCATTAGGAATAACTTANTCGATTTAATAATGTTTAAATATGATTCCAAACAGATGTTTCAAAATATCTTCAATTTTTCTACTAAACACATTACAAATGGCGCATATACTACTCCATTAGGAATAACTTAAACAATTAACTGATATAAAGAACATACAATTTAGACAAAATTGTCTAAAGTTAAAAGCATTATAGTTAAAGTTGATTTAATTTGAATTTTACATCGCCGAAGTTGTGACTTCATTTGTACGACTAAACACATTAAACTCTTTGTTCTATTTATTGTTATTATTCGATAGCTACGCAGATTGAAAATTAAAAAGTTTACCAGCAGATTAACCAAGGCTTGCATGGCATTCTATAGATCTGACAAAATACTTTGTAAAAAAATGATAAAAAGGACAGTATTTCTTTTTTTACGGAAAAAGAAGATTATATATAAAATAAATAAAAGAACATCGGGAAATGTGACATTTAATTTTTATATTTTATACAGGCGACATTAATATTTGTTGGCATACATCGACCTTATAAGAGCATTGAATTATGTCTTAAAAATTGCCTTTGTATTTAATTTTGATTAATTTTTTCTTTCGTTTTAATCAATTATTGCTGCAAAAGTTTGCAACCTGTGTTATTAAAGGGGTTAGAGACATAGTTTCTTTTCCTTTTTTAAAAAAGATATTTTATTTTATAATTTAAAATTGTGATAAAAAATACCTGTCTGAAGTGTTGTATGTGTTCTCACAATCGTTTGCCCATAGAACAAGTCTGGTCCTAAAATCGTCAGCACAGTGAAATTGTATGTGTGTCCAGGTTTCAAACCAGTTACATTGGCCCCATCAAAAGTGGCTATCATGTTTCCTGTTTCTAAAATATCGTTAATTGCCACCCAAGTCAGATTATAGGTAACGTTCGCAGCCAATGTTTCTGTTGTCCACATTAGTTTAACTTCATTCGATGAAATCTGAGTCGAGTTTGAAAATGTAACTCGTAAATCTGAAACTAACGGCAAAATCAACCTTTAGCATCGACTTATAGCAATCAACTTAATTAAACAATGAAATAGCAAAACGAGGTTTGTGGAAGCTTGAATTAGAGAACAGGACAAAACGATCAGGACGTTTGGGCATAAGGCCTTCTTTTTCCTGTGCACAGGGCACGTAAATATTTCACAAAGAACAGAGCACAGTAAACAACTCAAGAAATAGGGATTAGTGTTAAATAAAAAAACAATGACTGCATATTATGTCATGTTCTAAGGACAAAGATATTTGTTCAAAATGATATACTTAACTATGTTGTCACTTTTTCAATAGATAGAATCTACAATTTAGTCCAAACGAAAAATCTCACTTGGTGAGCACTGTCCTCGTTCGAAGAACATAACGTCTTCACACAGGCATCTATGTGTATGTGACACGTCTGGTTTACATAAAAAGTCTAAATGTTCACATATCCTGGCAACGAAGGGTAAACATTTCATTCCGTGGCCCAGCACTGAAATAACAAGTTTAGAGCATGAAAAGAAACTTTCAAATTACATTTTAGCATGTTAAATGTTANTAAATATTTGCATCCATTGTAAAGATCAGCCTTTTGTTGTATTGTTTTCTAAATGCAAAATAAAATCGTTTATATTATTTAAAATACGGATATATTATTTTAAAAATGGACATATTATTTTAAATCGGAAATATTATTTTAAAATGACATAATTTTTTTTTTTTTTTTTTTTTAATATAAAAAAAATTTTTTTTTTTTTTTTTTTTAAATCAGAAACATATTTTTAATTCGATTTGTTTAAAATGAAGTACAAAATTTGTTCATGACTAACTCACCTTCGACGACAAAAGATGCATTAAATCCTGGGTAACCCAAATAACTGCTGTTTGTTTTAAAAACAATGTGCATCAAATTAGTTGTTGATGTTAGATTAGCTGAAAAATTGGACTGGCAATATTGTGCTATCAATCTGGCGTTCGTGTTTCCACCGTCGTACACACGAAGTACAGCATCCTTACAGTCCGGAAATCCTTTCATTTGAAAAAAGAATCTGAAATAAATGAATTAGGTGATCACTATTTCCAAACAGGATTATCGAGAGATGAGCGAATCTAAAGGGATGTATTAAACGTTACAAAATTAAACATACAAAATTGCATAAGCCAAAGTTAATTAGCGACCGTTGTAGGCCAAATATTTATGTTTTTATTTATTTTCATTTTTCAATTCCCTAGCCCCCCCCCCCCCCTTTTTTGTTATCATTCTATTTTGAAATGTGATATGTATAGCTATGTGTGTGTATAAAACTTTTTTGTTGTTGTTGCAAAACGAGAAAGTCATTACCATAATAATTACATAACAATCAGAAGCAAAGCTAGGATGAGTGCTACCTGCAGTGGCTTGGAAAACGTGCATTTTTCATGAAAATATATATTTTTTTAAAAATATATTTGATAAGCATCTATTAATAAACGATATATTTTTTCGCACATTATGTCTGATTTTGTGATTTGAACCAAAAACATTTCATTCTTAAGATTTTCTTTAAATTAAATTATTTCCCATCGTGCCTTTGAAATAAATTTAAAAAAAAATTGAAATAGCAAAAAACACAAACGGATTTCTTTTACCTCACAGTGATGACTTCATTCCCACCAACAAGTGTCCATGAATAATAGGAAGGTGTCGGGTATTTTACAGAATAACCTGGATTAGCAATGGTGCCAATCATTTGGGATATGGTAGAGTTGTACGCTGTTAGCAAAAAAATAGGACTTGAAAAATGTTGTTTCTTTTCGAAAGTTTGCATATCAAAAGAAAGAAGAAAACGCAATTGGATAAATGGATCGTCATCACACACACCAACACACACACACACATATATATATTTATATATATATATATATATATATATATATATATATAAATATATATATAAAT